GTGGAGGGTCTGGGAAGAAAGAAATAACAGAACCTTTGAAAACAAAGCCAGGAATACTGAGGATCTAATCTCTCACGTTACATTCCTTTGCAACAGTTGGGCTCTAAATTCTGAAGTCTTCAAAGGCATTGCATTAAATGACCTTCAGAGAAACCTAGAAGAAGTCCTCAACACTTCCTCTGGAATTGGCTTCATTCAAACATTTTGTCCTAGGGAGGAGAACCAGTTAACTCTAAGCTTTGATGATAGTGCTCAAGGATCCACAGGTCAAGCAGGAATTGGAGGAATAATCAGTGGGAGTGGGGGAAGCATCTTTTGGGCTTTCAGTGGTCCAATTGGGAGAGCTGATGCCACCAAGGCAGAGATCTTATCTGCCCTCACAGGTCTCCATTACGTCAAAATGTTAGGCCTTTCCTCTTTATCAATCGAGGGTGATTCAGCTAAACAATAAACTGGATAAGGCAGAGGACTGGAGGTCCTTGGAGGCTTTCTCATCTGTTGACTGAAGCCAGAGATATTCTAAATACCCTGAATGTGAAGCTGGTTTGGATTCCTAGGGAATTAAACACTGTAGCTGACAGCTTAGCCAAATCTGGAGCCCATAGAGATAATATGTTTTCTGATGTTTCTCTGCCTGTGTAATTCTGTTCCTGCCTTTCAAGGCCTTGTACTCTGTTAACTTATCTCAGTTAACTCTTAATAAAAAGTGTTAACCTTTCTAAAAAAAGGAATACCATATTGATGGATGGAACTGAAAGTTGCAATTATTTCCTAGTCCTTAAAAGAACTTCTGAGTCACACTCAACCAATTATATCAATATATCTGACCTCAGCATTAGTAGCCTTGGTAAATCTCCAACTAGTACTTGCTTCAATATATAGAATGACACTGTTTAACTCATTTCTTTCAAGAACATACAACAACTTTCACATGATTTTTTCCCAGCATGAAATACAACAATAGCAACATTTCAGGTGGACATCAGGTTACTTCATAACACCTCAATAGCTAAAGGTAATCCTTCATGTTCACATGGAGCTGTGAATCCTTTTGATATATGGACCCTGCTGGCCTGCCAAAAAAAGGAACTTATCCAAACATTTTAAGGCCAAAGGAACCACGAGACTCAGTGTTAGATATCCTATCTTTCATGGGGTAATCCTACTCAACTGCCATAAATGCATAATGTCAACAAAGAAACTAATTTGAAAAGTGACTGATGAAAAAAAAAAAAAAAACTAATTTGAAAAGTGAGGCTACATCTACCCCTTCAAAAAAAGGGTTTCTGTATTCAAGTTGTCTAGGATTCTATGCTTCCAAATCTGCAGGCCACTATCAGACAGATAATAATGTTGTTGTAAATGTTCAAGGCATGACTAATTATACATAAGTAGCTGGATGGATTTACTGAAAAAAGAAAAGTGATTGGATGGATTCCATTGACAAAAAAAAAAAGCCTCTCAAAGATTAGGGTGCATTCTGAGTTATCATTAGAAGTTCAAACTTTCTTTTTTTTTTTTTTTTTATTTGCAGTAGTTATAGAACTCTTCCAGTGTGAGCTTGTCTTACACTGCCTGTCCCAAGTCTGCATAAAGGAGACCTGCATCAGGTTGGCTGCTGGCTTTTTGTGCAGTTCGGATTCAGTGCGTTTGGACTCGAAGGGATTTTCTCTTCGAGTCCACTAAAATTCCCTTCGAGTCCACTAAAATTTTGACACATCATTTCATGCTTAACTGGCCATCACTTACAACTGGTTGGAGCTTAAATAAAAATTGATAAAAGATATAAAAAATCTACATTCTGCAACTTGCGAAAAAGACTTGCAGAGCAGCAGTCTCTGCAAAGCCCTGTGACTCAAACCTTCTCCCCCCAACCAGTAACAACAACAAGCCTTATCAATGGTAACTGCAACAAAACGACAACTGTAGATTTTAGTGACGACAGCAATGGTATTAACGGAAAGTTTCAAACATCAAAGTGTTCAAAGGTGAATGAAACCCCAAAATACAGAAGGCAGAAACTGAGAACAAAAAAGCTAATGAACCCGCTGATTTGTGCCCAAGAATCCTTTGTAAGACTAAAGATCCTAACTCTAACTCATTTTGGCAAAGTTGTCAACACCGACCAAGTTAATGAACTCACTGATTTCTGTTCGAAAATCCCTAATACCACTTTTTCGTATTAAAATCTGAAACCCAAGAATCCTTTGAAAATAGAATTTTTTGAGAGCCTATCATGAAAGAAAACCCTGTGCGTGACAGCGTGACTTCTTGAATATATTTTTCTTGAAAATATATCTTTGGAGAATTGGAGCTATTGTTTTTACTTTCAGAAGCTTAGTATGGAGGAAGAAGAAGACATCTCGTGTCTTGCAAATCCAAAGCCAAAACAGGGTTTGTCTTCCCATTAATGGTTGGAGGAGCAAGGCTTGAGTTGCGTTTGGACTGAGAATGTAAGGATTTGTCTTGCAAATCCAAAGCAACAACCGTGAGGAAGGTTTTGTTTTCCCATTAATGGTTGGGGGAGAAGGGTTCGAGTACGAGAACATGAGGGTTTCGAACTTTCTGTCAATATTTAGTTAGATTTCTTTACAAAAATTTCATATTTATCAATTTTTATTTAAAAATATTTTTATCAATCATAACCCGCAGTAAAACTTCAGCCAGTTGCCAGTGATGACCAGTCTAGCACCGGAAGACGTGTCAAAATTTTAGTGAACTCGAAGAGCAAATCCCTTCGAGTTCAAACACACTGAATCCGAACTGCTTTTTGTGCCATAAGAGAATGATGAAACAGGATTCATGTAGTCAACATCATATAGTCGGGAAAGGCTTAGATGATGATGATGATGATGATGATTTGCAGTAGTTATGGACAAGTAAAAGAACTTGCAGTAGGTTTTGAGAAATTGCACCTGGAATACTTAGCAACCATATATGTGCAGAAGTGTCAAATTAATTATCACATATAAAGTGTTAGACAGTTTTGTATGCCCTTAGCTTCAATCAGAATGATGTACTTTATGAGTTTATTGTAAATGAATAAAGATACATATTTGATTC